AAAAAAAAAAAAAAAAAGCGGCGCCAGTGGTCAGTGGCAGCGTGGCGGGGCGTGGCGGGGAAGGCGGCGACGGTAACGGGACCCCACCACCACCCGGTGATTTGTGGTTAGACTGATGTAACGCTTCGCAAAATGCTTCAATAAAACCTGCGCAGAAACTCCGCGCGTCGACGGCACAAACTTATGACAATCCCACGTGTACGTTCTGCTGTCGCAGGCTGCGACTCGCAGCTGTCGCTGTCGTTGACGCTCGCGCCGTGCAAGTAGGCAGCCGTCCCGCACGCCCGCATGCGGTACAGAATAACTAGCGCCAGTACGACTTCCACGCGGCGCTAGTTGTTACCTGCGTGTTTCTTGTCACCGCTTGATAAATATGCAGGTGGTGTGTGTGCGCGCGCGTGTGTGTGTGTGTGTGCAGACGCAATTTTCAGGAAAAGGTGTGCCCCAATAGCTATCCAGGGTCCATAACGCCTTAATTTACACCGCCGGTGTTAGCACCGTGTCGAATAGCGTGCGAAGTGTTCTCTGCGACGTCCCCGTACGAACTGTCCAGATAGTACGTCCATTTTTCTCGAGATTTATTTGGTAAATTGCGGGAGCTCAGCGCCTGCAAGACTCGTGGTAGGCCACCCCGCAGTACATGCATGCACTGCAAGCGAGATGTTGCCTACCCATTAGGCGCTATGAGAGCTTGCTTGCTTGCATAGGCTGAACTTGGCAGTTCCGTAAACGACAAGTGACGGACGTACCTTCTGGACGGCCCCTCACAACCGTGCAAACGATTCAACGTGCGGGGAATCCCCACCCCCCACCCCCCACAGCTGGAAATCGCGCGTTGTTATCCTAACTCGGTTTTCTTTGTGACGTGCCATTCTCCGGGCGCGGCTGGCGAGGCCCTCGCCGGGAGGCGCTGAGCTAGGCCCTAACCCACTACAGTGCACACTCCCCCTGCACTCTGGTTGAGCCTCCTTTGTCCCTGGGTCCTCACCTCCCGGGCGCGGCCCGGCCCGGCCACGCCCGGCCCGGCACGCCCATCAAGCCCCGCTATAGGTCCCCGGCCCGAGCGCGCCTCCGCTCCGCTCCAAAATCTAAGTTAGCCTTGAGGTTCCGTTGAACCCCGAGCGCGGCCGAGGCCGTCTTACACTAGGGTGCAGTCTCCCCCGTGCGCGGCCGACTGGCGGGCCGAGTGGCGGGCGCAACGCCTCTCCACTTAAGTTTTCCGATTAAATCTTAACGCGCGGGCCCGAGTCGTCGCCACGCTCTGCATCGATTGACGCGCGGCCGCGTCTCATCGGATGGGACATGTCACGTCGGGGGGCGGGCGGCACCCTGGCAGCGTGTCCGGCCCGCCGCAGCCGTCGCGACGAGTCGATCGCCGGCGGGGCAGCCATTGCACCACTCGCACACCACCGGCGGTGGGGAACACATACTGTAGGATTCTGTTCTCTCTGGGCGGGCGCACCGGGACCCAAACGCTGCTCACAGCGGTCCCGTCGTCGGCGAGGAACGCTCTCCACTCGGGGAGAATTAGCTGTCAAGATGCCCGCTCGCGCCCGCAATAACGGAATTGAAAGGAAGTGGCTCCGGCCAGATAGGCAGCCGCGCAGCACGAGTACGGCGCGGGGGCAGCCGTGGGGGGCAAGGGCCCCTCGAGGGCCGCCCGGCCAGCCGCGGCCAGCCCGTGAGTCACGGACCCCGGCCGGGCCGGGCCAGCGGTGCTGGATGCAGCTCCTCTAGTAGTGGGAAGTAGGGCAGGCCGCAGTCCCGCAGCGTTTGAGCCGACGGAGAGGCAGTCCGGGCAGGAGTTCGCGATGTCCTGGCTACGCCGGCTACGCCCCGCACCGGCACCACGCCCTCTGCCCACCACCGCCCGGGTGCTGCGGAGCTCGCGGGGGACGCGCGGCGAAGCGGGGCGGGTGGGGCGGGGCGTCAGGTTCCTGATCATGACCTGCTCAACGGTTGTTCGGATCTTCACCTCTCGACGGTTCCCGCTGGGCGCTTCGCTTCGCCCGGCGGTGGGGGTAGGGTGGGGGAGAATAGGCGGGACAGAGGCAGGCCGCCGACGCCCGGCCCTGGAGCACACGGCGGGGAGCTTTGAACTCCGGCCCGTTCCCGACCATTACGTGAAGCCGTGACTCGGTTCGGCTTCGGCTCGGCCGCTGGACCGCTGGGCGGCCGCTGAGAGTACCGAGCAAGTATCACTTTGGGCCACGGGCGATATTTTTTTAAGAAGGGCCACAGCAGCAGTTAGCCCCAAGAGTTGCGGGCGACGGGTTGATTGCAAATGGAAGTGCCGTTGGCAAAGTCGCATGCACAACGGCAGCCCTCATATCGAGCCACGCCACGCCGTGCGGCGAGCCTGCTGTTCGGTGGGTGTCGGTACACGCCCCGCCCTCCCTGCCCTGAGCTCTGTGAGTTCTGTTCTGTTCGCTTCCCTTCGCCCTCTGGGCTGTGACGGTGTCACCCAGTAGCGAGGGAAGCCCTACGACTGCACGATGGCTGGGACGGGCCGGGCAAAGGCGAGTTCTGCAATGAGGCCAGAGGGGGCTGTACCGCACCCCCAGCCATCTCCTTACCCCTACCCCGGCGGTGGTCGGGTGACATAGACATGACCAGGGGCGTCCACATTCGTCGATGTACCGGTTATAAAGGCTAATACTCCCCGGTGTTGCGGGTTTGCATACCCAAGGGGTCATGGCGCCTAACGGGCAGACCGGGTAGGCATACCCACAACACTGTGGTGTACTGCCTTGACAGACGGTGCGATCAGTTTGGTCCGCCCGCCTACCATCCGTGATCATAGCGCCTTACGGCCCAGGCGAGAAGACAACCCAACCCACCCGCAGGCGTGCTTGCGGTACAGTCCAGCTGCGGAGGTGGAGGACGTGTGTGTGGGGGTCCAATCAGCCACTTTGGTACAGACTGGAGAACCATCGCGTATGACCAACTTTTCGTGCCGCGCGCCCACGCTTTTCCAGGCGTATGGAAGTGGAGACAAATAACCCAACGGTATCGCGGAATTCATTGTCATTTCCGCTCCGCATCCCAGGCGGTCCCGCCGCTGCCGCGACCAGCTCGTCCGCCGCTCCGACTCCCGTTAGGATCGCGCGCGCGCCGCCTGCTCGGTGCGCAACCCAACGCGCGCGCCCGCCTTGCTGGCTGCTGGCCGGGCAGCGCGGGGGGTCTGCTCCTTCTCCGCAAGGGCGGGGCGAGCGTTGGAGGCAGGCCGAGCTATTTACGATCTCAACTGGATAGTTTACTCGAGCAGAAAAACTCCCTGGGCGCCGTCTGTTTCTTACTGCTGCTCTGCTCCAACTCCAAAGCGTCCAGTGTATATCGCTGGTATCGCCCCGACCGCAGGGAAATCGACCGGAATTCTCGGGTCGTTACCGCCGTGCAGGGCAAGCAACGAGTGTTGCATAATGCCCCAAGTTCGTGGAAGGGACCGTTCGCAAACCTCGACTCCTTGTTGGCAAAAAGTATGAATTGCTTCGCGGATCTTCATTTTTGAAGATGGTGTTTCCATTCTGTTGTTTAGATTATGCTGTTACCTAACGGGGGTATCCAGATTCCACCTAGTATAGGGGTAGTGTGGTTGGTTTCATGTCGCGTCTTTTGCCTAGGCAGATTGCAAATATGTCGTAGCGGTGAAAATCCGCTGCGACGCACGGGTCGAAAGCTGCCTGGAAAGTTCCACCTCACCTACCCGTGCGTAAACCTCGTCGTCTGCCCCCTGGCGATCCACCCTCCTGGAATGCTGTAATTTAATAACTAAACCGCCCCACCCGGGTGGCATGTCGGCCTGCCTTCGATCCACCATCGGCGGCTGGCATGGCACGCGCGGCCGGTGCGGTAGGTGCGGTGCAGCGGCGCGAGGAGAGGCGACGGGGACACCGGCAGGGGTGGGTAGTACCGCGCTTCGCCGCGCCGCACTTCGGGTAGCGCGGCTACCGCGGCCAGCCGGGTGATCGGTACTCCCGCGCCTGCGGGGGCGGCCGCCGGGGGCGCCGGAAAGGGTAGCGGCCGACAGAGCGGGGTGGGGG